AAAGGGAATACTAGCGTGGCCGTCGTCAGTCAATAACTGGGTTGACATATTGGTTCGTTAGGTAATTGAATTGGTTGTCCCAACAGATCTTCCATCTATCGTAACTGCTGCTCTATGGGAACAAATGGTTTGGTATAGCAATCGAGACATGAATTGGTGCTGGAATTTCGTAGAACGGTCATAAAACTGGAGTTTGAGTGAATCCACACATTTCGTTGCGATCTCTTTCTCTTTGCATCTGTTTTCACCGAAGATTTGGGAACGATTTCATCAATGGCGGTACCGATTGTCCATGTTCAAGAGTATGAGACGCAGTCATTTGCAATGCCGTAGAATTGCATGCGACAATTGAGCGAAAAGTTTTCAGGAATAGCAGCAGCTTTTTTTGAATTTTTGCTAGTTCTGGTCGTCTGATTGCTTTTTAAACAGTACCTATTCAACATGGGCCGCTCACATAGCTAAGAACAAACAAAAGACGTGCAGAATGAGAACGAGGAGAAAGCGCATTTTCTCGTGCCAAACGCAATAGCTCGAGGCTAAAATGTGCCTTACCACGAGAGCGCCCCCATAGCTCATAAAGGCTAATAACCCTATTGTCCGAGGTATAAGGCTCTCTCCCTCGCTTCGAACCCTGCGATTATTCCGCGATTAGAATTTTGTGTACATTCCAACTCCTCCCATCTGTGACCATGACATGTTCGGCTTCTTTTTGATAAACTCTTTCTGACACGAGTTTTTGTGGTGGGACCTTAGCTAACGTTCCGACATTCACATCGTTGTCAATGGCCTGAACATGGCTCACTTAAGATCGCCTGCTATTCCCACAGAAAGCCTTGCTCGTGCTCGTCTAGCATTCCCACATCACTCAGGAGCATGCAAAAGTATCCTGAAATTGAAGGATAAGCTCAGCCTCACAAGAGTGTAGCACCGCTATGCTCAGTAGTCGAATGTAAAATCCGAAAGATCAAGCTAAAATAGCCGTCGGGTAGGCCAACGTCGTGCAATCAATGTCGAAATCGTGGCCATCATAGTGCTCCGTTCTGTGTCTCTCAACGGTCTCCGCACGTTATTTCGCCTGCGCCTTTCATCAGGTAGATGTTCCTTGAGCGTAGCGATCCCATTTTTACTTTATATGTGTTGAGTTACATGTCCTGCACGTGAATGGCTACACGAAAAATAGGAGATCTCGTCCTCTGTGTGTGCAATTCATCTCTGACAAAGTGTCTGCTGCAATTTAACGATGCATTGTTTGAGCACAGCTGACCGATGGTGTCATCTTGGTTAGCATTCCCAACGACAAGATCAGTCGTCAACTTGTGGGAACAGACTTGACGATAAACATGGCCTCTCAGAAGATGTGTTACATCTCCACGTAACAAATCCGGCGGTTGTGCCTCAGCAGAAAAAATGCTGATAATAAAACAAAATATAAGTGAAGTACGTCA